CAATATCACTTTTAATTGCAAAATGACCAATTTCCCAAACATATATATGCTAGGTATGTTATTATACGTAATATAAGCTTCAACTTAAGGCTGATTTCCACTGTTGCGTTTTTCATACGTACGTATACGCACGTAAAACTTTAAATTTGTTTAAATGTTACTTATGAAATAACCAAATACATAAAGTTTAGCTTTAAGAACATTTTAAAACGCTGTGCAAAGCGTTTGTGGTTGAATTTCACATTAAAGGCTGATTTCCACTATTGCGTTTTTCGTACGCACGTACACGCACGTAAAACTTTGAATCCTTCTATTTTTAAAATATTTTACAAATAAGTTAACAAATGCATACTAAAACTTGCGCAACACTAAATTCTGTTGCCTTTTACCGGTAAACATTGAGTTTGAAATAAACTGATTTCAAATTCTCGCATAAAAATAACTTTGCTTTCCTCTTTATATTTAAACATTTTAATATAATAAAAAAGGGTAATTAATAAAAATACACTGAAATTATATGTTGTATATTTCTACTTCTATACGCAACGTTCGTATCAGTTTTTAAAGCAATTTTAAAGAAAAAAAAAACATCAATATTAAAAACAAACTTACCTTCACTAACGTCAGCGACTACTTTTAGACATTTTTGGGCTCTTGTTTCTCAAAAAGGTTTTGAAATTTACAAAATCTTGCAAAAATACAATATATTTGCAAGAAATGTTTGTTATTTCGCTGTCGTCATGCAGTCGTTATAATGCAAATTTCAAATTTGACCAATCAGTGTCACTGTCAGTGTATTCACGACAGTCCCGACTCCGCTACATATTTTGAGATCAGTGAGGATGACCACCCATGAACGGTAAACCATAGCCATGCGCCCGCGATATTTGATGACCTTTAGACTTCGCTAGTGTGTTCCTTTCCCCGGGTGTAAATAGCCGGGCGGAATTAGTACCCTCGCCCAGGGTTTACGCTTGGGGATTAACGTTTGTTCAAGTAATTCGGTATGATCAATGAATTTTTTTGGTGTGATTTGCTCATTAACCCAATTATCTTTCGATCAATTGTGTATTCCCACCCCACACCAACCCAAAAAATCCTCAGCCAATCATGCACACAAAACTAAAACTATATAGCTCCTTAGCTTTCACTCCAGTATTTATCTTCTACCCTCCGGAAAATTGCAGTTAATTTTGGTCCACCATTTCTCGTAACTTTCTTGGCTTCCTCAGAAGAAACGCCGAGTTTGGGTATCACTGGGTCATTATCCTAGTAAATAAATAAATTCATGAAATAAAAACAATGTTTTATTGTTTACCATGCATGAAGATGACACTGTTATGAACCTGGGCTGACATTTTAAAGTGTTAACCGTGAAACATCTTTTCGCATTCTGAAGGAGTTACATCGTGCATTTAACAAAAAATCTGCACCTAAAATAATCACTTTAAAGCTAATAGATTCTTCCCTCTTTTTCGGGATTTCTGCACTTTTATAAAA